CCAGAACGGTCCTCGGCTGGCGTCACGGCGGCCCCAACTGTGCGTACGTGGGGCTCTAGTCAGCGGCCGCTGGCCAGGTGCCTCGGGTGTCGTTTTCAACGGCTACGTGCATCTCACGCGCGGCGTGGCGTGCACTCAGAATGAAGTCTCTTAGCTCTAGGTAGCGCTAGTGACCAAGACGGTTGTATCAGCGCCCAGTGGCCTTAGCGTCCGGCGCTTACCGAAAACGGGCCACCCATATCTAGTACGTGGTTCTCTCGAGTCGTTCGGTTCCTCTATCTACACCGAGCTACAGGCTCCGGGATATCGTGCGGTACCACGGCATGACTTATCAAACGCCTCGTGCGACTGACTGTCGGCGCCTGTCCTCGGTGAAATGTAATTTGCGAATCCCCGCCACCGCGAGAAAACCATTGTGCAGCTAATAACCGGCGCTGGCCTCACTGACCGGCGGAGGAGAGGACGATGCGGCCGCGCTCTCCGTCACGCTGCCGCCCGTCACCGTCACATCCTTCGGCTCCAGTCCCGGCCAGCGCGCCAGGCGCTTGGCGCCGCCACGCGGCACCACAAACAGGCCCGAGTCCAGATACTGCCGGTAGATGTCGTCTGCGTCCTCGGTGGCGCGTGACGGTGACGGGGAGTTCGGAGGATGCGAACACAGTCAGCCTGCAACACCAGCGCGTGATAAAGACGTGGGAGCTAAACCATTTCTCCGACTTCTGCTGCATCCGGCGGCATCAGCCTCCGCACCGGTGTCAGATCGGCCTCGGTTCTTGCCTGTTGGCGGGCCGGCCCGAGCACTCCCAGGATCCACCTCCGATATACCGGGGTACAACGCAACACATCACAGTTGATGTCTTGGTGCAGTCGATAGAAGCCAGGCGAGGTAACCCCACTTTTGACCGATCTACTTCGTCATATAGCTATTAAACAGTGAGAACGGTACCCACCAACCGAGGCCCAATCATTCAGATTTACCCTCGTGAATTGAAGGCTGCATACCCCCCATCTACCGGACGCCGCACCAACGTTTCCTCACATCTCGTTCCAAGCATCGCCCAAGAACCGCCCAAGCGGCGCCAGGGTAGTGACACCCCAGAGCGGAGTGCTCCCTGAACAGCCGCGTGGCCGCATGACGCTCACCTAGCCATGCTGGGACCGGCCCTGTAGTCGAGCCGGGCCAGGCCGGCGATGAAAAGCGACTGGCCGCGGTACAGGGAGAACGTGCGGGGCTGCAGCAACTGCCGCGTCAGCGTCAGCAACAGCTCCTCCTGAGTCAGCTGAGTCAGCAGCTGTAACAAGGTCGACTTAGTCGGCGACAGTGCGTCGTTGCTCAGCTGGGCTGGACGCTGCAACAAATGCCGCAGTTACAAACAACTCATCCTAGGTCAGCTCGGTCAGCAGCTGTAACACTACGGCCGAGTCACCGTTACCAACGGCTGCATCAGCTCGGTCAGCAGCTGTAACACTACGGCCGAGTCACCGTTACCGACGGCTGCATCAGCTTGGTCAGCAGCTGTAGCAGCAGTGCCGTTCCTGCGTCAGCTGGGATCACACACCTGACCGGGGAAGCCGCACATGCCATACACCCAGCGCCCGGTGGGAACACAAACCACACATCTGATACATACCTGGCCGAGGGTGACGAAGCCGGGCGTGTCGCACACCCAGCGGCCGGTGGGATCACACACCTGGTCAGGAGTGATAATGCCGGGCGTGTCGCACACCCAGCGGCCGGTGGGATCACACACCTGATCAGGAGTGATAAAGCCGGGCGTGTCGTACCCAGCGGCCGGTGGGGAAGCGCGGGTCGTCGGCCGCGATGCCCCCCAGCCGCTCAGTGGGCGGCGGCGCCTCGGCCGGCAGCACTGCGGCCTCCCCGTCGCGCGCTCGCTGGCCACGGAAGGTGCGTCCGATGTGACCTAAAGGAGCCGCGCGCCGTCACAACCGCGGGCGGGAGGGGCGGGGCGCGCTGAGGCACCGGCGCGGCCGCCTCCCAGGCCAGAGCCAGAGCGACGGACGCTGCTCCGCGCGACGTAGCGGACGTGCGTGCGGGGAAGATGCGGCGGCTCGGTGGCTGACGTGAGGCAGAAAGGAAAGTGATGAAATAGCTGCTGGCATAATACAGTTCTGCAGTGACAATAAAACTTGATGTCATTGATGGCTAGTTGCTAGCTTAAATAGACCAAACTGAAATGCTTCATGATGCTGCAGGCATCTACGATTGTATTCCTTTATAATGGTTCAGCCGTAGGTAACGCTGCCGCCAATGTGTTGACGAGCAAGATTGTCAATCGGTAACAACAATCTTCAGATGCAGAACCTGTCAGCATGGCGTATTTTGGGTCCCCAGTCTCCTGCAGGCGCGATTCTCTCAGCCTCTGTTCCTCTCTTCTCCAGTTTTTCTCCTTCCGCAACCGGTGCAGACGTTTGTGAATGTGGAACTCTTGCGGACGCATCATGGGAAACTGTAATGCGCGACCACAGCCCAGAATAAGAACGAAAGTCGCATGAGGACATTGGAGGCGAGGGAATTTCCGCCATGTCACTGTAACTACCAATGCAGGATAATCACAGACCGTACATAGTCGGGGCAATATGCTGCTTTTTTGCATAACTTTTTACGGTATGCTTGGGGATACTAATTTTCAGTCGAAATCTTGAACTTTGACACACTGGATCGGGCACAAGGGATGGGATCTGGAGACAGTCAGTGCAGAGGGCTGGGAGCCAGTGCTCGGGTCAGCACGGTGAAGTGGGAGCTTGTGCCTGGTCGGTATATGGGGGTAGGAGCCAGGGTTAGGTCACTACGCAGGGTGAGAGCCAGGATCTGGTCAGTACACAGGGTGGGTGGGGAGCTAGGCTGACCGAAAACGGGTGGGAGCCAGGGTCGGCTTAGCACATATAGGTGGCAACCAGGGTCAGGCCAGTGCATGGGGGTGGGGGCCAGGGTCCGGCCAATACATGGGGGTGGAAGCCAGGGTCAGGCGGGTACGTGGGGTGGGAGCCAGGGTCACGCCAGCAGCAGGGATGGGAGCTAGGGAAGACCTGAGTGGCGTCACCTTGAGCAGGTTGAGCGTGGTGCCCGGCCAGCGGGAGGCGGTGGCGCGCCGGATAAGATCGTGCCGCGGACTTGCACAGGTCCGACTGCAGCAGCGTGTTGAACAGCGTTGACTTGCCCACATTGGTGCAGCCCAGTAAGTACACGTCACCTGCAACAGCAGCGGGAGCTGACGAGCTTTGGACCGGGCAACGGCGCTCTTAGAACTAACTGATGTGCGGTGGCGCCCTAGTCTGGACTGTGAAGACTCGTGCCGTTTGTCTCACGAATGCATGTGGATTGGTCGGTTGTTTCGATTGCCCTAAGTCACCTAGCACCTTAAAACCAACATCGACCCAACAGCCGGTGGCTTCACACTTGCACCGAAAAGTGAGGGAAGCTCACGCGTTGATCACGGAGCAACGAGGCGCAAGAGCCGCTGAGCGAGGTCACACATTTGTGGGAACTGTGGCAACTGATCACAAGTGTACCCCGGTCTTTTCAGCACGTAAGAATGAGATCGACTTCTTCCTCCTGCGGCGTTGTGGAAGTGCGGCGTTGTGCCCCCCCCCCCCCCCTCCCCTCCCCCTACTCTGTCCTTCCAGTAGTGAGTCTGTGTAGGAAACAGTGAGCTTTCGTATCCGGGACGTCCCCCAGCGTGGTCTGCAGGACGGAAGGACTGTTCCAGCACACCCCGGTCTCAGCCGTGGACACGTGCGAGACGGAGCACCGGCCATCTCCTCTGGTGGATACCTCTGCTCCGTGGGCAAAAAATACGGACGAAACACGGCAGCTGCAAAAGGAAAATACTTGTACCCTGGTCTCTCCAGTGTGTCTGCAGGACGGTGATGAGATCCTCCACGCCGTAGCCGCTGCGAGCGCTGATCAAGACAGGTGTGGCTTCACGTTCAGCACCGATCGATCACCGCACCGCTCCAGGGCCAGGTTCAGCGCCGCCTTCACGCGCTCCAGGTATCCCTCGCTGTCTTGCGGCAACAGGTCCACCTTGTTGCCCACGACCACCACCGGCCGTGACCGGCCTGGGGAGAAGGCCGACACGTGAGGAGACACCAGCGATGGTTGGGTATGTTTCGAACCAGACAATCAATCAGAGCAATACTATCGCATACTATCACGACGCCCAAAGTCGAGCAAAATACGCCACTGTCTGTGCATATCACGGAAAACGTGTTGGTTTATGGCATTCTGAATTCCAAGCACGAGCCTCTCATATGTACATTCCACTCAGCTGCCGACAACTGACCGACGAGCTGCGCCAGGCCGGGCCAGACGCTGCAGGGGAAGTCGAGCAGATCCACCACGAGCACGAGCAGCGCCGACTTGTTCTCCATCTGGCGCATCATCAGCGAGTAGTCGTCCGGCCGCACGCTGACGTTGATAGCGGCGTTGTGGAAGCGCAGGAAGTAGCAGCGCTGGCAGATGAGGTCGCGCAGTTCGGCCTCTGGTGCTGCACGCAGCACCTCCGACGGCAAATAGCCGGGCCACGACGGCTCCTGGCAGTGCAGGTGCGCGCCGCAGCCGCCGCACACCACCTGGCTGGCCGGCACAGATGGGTCCGGGTGGCCATAGCGTAGCACCCACAGGTCCTGGTCATCAGTGTCTGCGTCGGCAGCCTGCTCGCGCACCGCCTGCTCGCGCAGCAGTTGTAGCCGCTCACGCACTGTTTGCTGCAGCTGCGTGTCATCAGGTGTGTCATGCTCATCCTGCTGCTCACCAGGTTCTGTGAACTCCACCAGAGATGCAGCAGCAAATGGAAACATGGATGACTCTGTTGACTCCAGTGGTGCCTCAGCTGCCAGAGAGTTATGGCTTGAATGAATGCTGTCTGTTCCTAGAGCACTGAAGAAGGCACAGGTAGGCATGGCAGGTGCATGCTCTCCATCCACTGCAGTTTGTTGGGCCTTCAGTCTTGCCCTTTGCAGCTCTCTCCCCTCAGACTTGGAAAGTCTAATTAACATGCAATTATGCAGAATTCTTCTATCACTCTGAGGGTGTGATTTTAGGGGATTCATTTCTGGCTGCATGCATTTGCATTACTTGCAGTGTACTGCACTAGTGGCTGAGTAAATGTCTGATGTTTAACCAATCTTGTAAGTACAGCATGTTGCAGCCTGTATATTCTCAAAAACCCCATTTTCTTTGGTGGTTAGATAGCTGACTTTACATTTGATTGCAGCAAGCAGGTAATTTATGAATCCAAGACCTGTATGGAGGACAAAACATCTGTGTGAACATTTCTAAAACTGACTTAACTTATTCACTTAAAATGCATTTGAAAATACCTCTGAAATATCAACTTCTCAAAACACAGGTATTCAATGCAATGAAATTAGTTCAGCTTAGCAATAAATTCCAAGTGCAACAGTTTATGTAATAGTTCAAATATGAAACATGCAACAACCTAACAGCATACATGATCAGAAATAGTTGCTGCAAATTGCTGCTATGCCAGAAATGTTTGACATCCAGTACATTTCTGCAGTCTGGGCTCTGTATGTATGTGAGGCCTGACTTTGCAGCGAAAGTGTTAATATACAATGCAAACATACCAACATGCTCCTATATTGGATACCTACGGGCATCAAAGTATATTTGTCAATGGCATAATTAGCTCCATCTGTGAGCTAAATTTCATTGTAATTGGTCAGTAGATCGAATGTGACACGCGAATGTGAATGTGTAATATGGATCTAACTTGATGCACGTGGCAAATTTAAGGCTATCTAACAGGCAAATCCCACTTATGCCAGGGTTATCTTAAAACTGCTATAACTGTATCATGAAATAGCTACCATATACCAGCTAACTGTACCATATAAACTACATGAATAATTTGCGAACTCGTGGCTTTTTTATTTTGAGCTATTCGGTTAAGTTACATCTTTGAACGCGTTCTGAATCACTTTTGGTAATACTTATGGCGCATCTCTCACATTTTACTCACCAAAGATGATTCAACACGAAATCGGCTGATTTAATTACTTTATAAACACGCCGTAATTTCTGGCTCCATGTGACAACACCGGCACAAAACTGTGGAAGAGACCGACTTGGAGAGGTCGGAGAGCCGGCCTGGCAGATTGCATATAAGGCGATGTGGGGGAGGGGGAGTCCGGGCTCCGGCGCCTCGAAGTTGACCGGTTTGACCGGAGCTTTGGCCTGGAGGTAGCGTCTTCCAGCGCTTTTAGTGGTCTTGTCGGGAAGGAGGCCCCGGCAGTTCCATGGGATCTTAGAGAAAGAGTGCCACGTAAAGTCTGATGCGGGGCAACTTGGGACGTTGCGGCCTGCGGACGATAACACTCAACGCATGTGACTGGCCAGTAGCTATTTGTACTTGGTGTAAACGTACTCTTTCTGAGCTTAAACATTGAGAAGTGAGATCAGGTAGGTTGAGGGGGTAGGTATCTGTTTTTTGTTTTCTGACCAGAGCAAGAATGTAAGCGAGAGGGCCAAAGGATACCCTGTCAGCTTGATCATCAGTTTTGTTTTCTTGGATAGGTATGTAATTTTGCTTTGAGGTTGTCTTTGATAGTGTATGGGGCCTTTTTTCAACAAATGTTTGGGCTAGATTATGATTTTGGGATTTTGAGGTGCATGGCTGCAGCAGAGTATTCCATCTTTTGAATCCTTGTGGAAACATGGTGGTTGCTTCCTGCCAGCATTCATGCCTTGACATGAGTGGACATAGGTTTTGCTCAAAATGGCAAAGCTCAGAATTGCAATATTCATATTACAACTAATGGGTGCAGAATATGCAGGCATTGTGGCCACTATTGATCATGTCTAGGGGTAAATAATGTTGTGGTTACTGTGATATGGAGCTGGTTCAGAAAAAGCCACTTAAATGATATCTCTCATGCATTTTTGCTTGTCTTTTGTCAAAGACTATGTAATTGTACATGGGTTTGACCATGCTGTGATTTTATATAGCATGTGTTAGAGGTTTGGGCCCAGCTCCCAGCCAAGAGTGTTGTCACCATAACATTCAGCTTGGGACATCTTGTATGTAGATTCTAAATTACCTTGCTAAATGGACACCTTAAATTTGTCTTCAAACCTCAAATAGCAGTACTGTAAGTGTGGTGGTTGACCTGTACATCTGGGAAACCAAAGGTACTGAGTTTTAATTATGCATGGTTCCTTTTCCCAGTGTGAGATGCTATGATGCCATATAGCTTCTGAAGCTGAATGTGTTCCAAAACCCAAATCATGCACGCACGCAAGGCACGCACGCACGAACGCACACACCACACGAACGCACACACACACGAACGCACACACACACGAACGCACACACACACGAACGCACACACACACGAACGCACACACACGAACGCACACACACACACACACACGCACGCACGCACGCACGCACGCGCACACACACCCACACACACACACCAGCAGCACGCACGCACGCGCACACACACACACCACACACACACGCACGCACGCACGCACGCGCGCGCACACACACACACACACACACACACACGCACGCACGCACGCACGCACGCACGCACGCACGCACGCACGCACGCACGCACGCACGCACGCACGCACGCAACGCACGCACACACACACACACACACACACACACACCACACACACACACACACACACACACACACACACACACAATGCCCTTTAAGTTGTTTTGTTTACTTTCTTATGGTTCATCTGAGATCTCTCACAAAATTGCCACCTCTGTTATTGGTTGGGTCAGATTCTGGTATTCCCAACATGAGCAATGGATAGGGCTGATCAGCAAAAATTGATGCATTTTTCCCCCATAATATCAGCAATGGAATTTCTCCCCTGGACTTGACCCACTCTTTGCAAAGTTGGGTGTTGAAGTCTCCCCAATCCCAACTGAGCAGAGAATCTCACCCCTGGAGTGGGGCATGCATGTATTTTACTTATGTATGTATTTTAGTTACTGCACCAGTCCTGACAGAACTGGGCACATGCTTTGCATGTATGATATTAACATGTTGTCCCACAGATGGATGGGCTGATGGATTATGCTGATGGGGTGGATGTGGAAGACCTGGAGTATGGGTATGGCCAGGAAGAGGACATTGATGACTATGAGTATGATGCTGATGACAGCCCATTCAATGATGAAGGGTTCTCTTTCCAAGAAACTGTTGAGCACTGTGTTCTGCCTACAACCAATGATGCCATAGGTCACATTGGCAAGCTGCTTTTCTGGTGTTTTGTGCTCCGCATCATTGTCACTCTGTGTGAGTATGCCTTAAATATTTATTTCAGTGGTTGCTATGTATAATGGTAATGCCGAATGTATTATTCAATGAATCATGTATATGTGTTTTGGCTTATCCAGTAGTCCAAAAGAAAAATGCTGTTGCCTTTTATGCATATGCACACCTACTTTGCTCATTGTAATTTGATATTCAAGCTGAAAGCTATCGACCTCCCTCATAAATAAGCTGAAAGCTGGCACCAGCTAGTGCTGTCTCGGTCTCACACAATCCACTGTGCCATCGTGCCCTCACTTCCCATCCCTCGGAGCCGTCTGGCTGACCACCGCGCCCGGCCGCCAGCAGGTTCAGGTCCCTCCCCCTCACTTCCCATCTTCCGGAGCCATCTGGCTGACCATTACGCCTCTTCACGGACAGGGTCGAGTCCCTCCCCCTCACTCCCTATGCCTCGGGGTCGCCTGGCTGACTACCACTCCCGGCCGCCGCCAGGTTCGGGTCCCTCCCCTCTCACTCCTTATGCCTTGGAGCCATCCTGTTGACCAACACACCACACCCGGCCACCGACGAGTTCCCCTCCCCCCCCCCCCCACACACACACACCTCCATCCCTGGAAGGTGTCCTGTTGACCAACACGCCCGCCGCCAGCCTCGGGCCGGACCAGCGGCATGGTGCACTTGGCCTCGGCGCTGATCGGCTGCCTGGTGTTGCACCACTTTTTCACCGACCTGCTGGTGACGTTCGTGGTGCACGCGGCGCTCTCATACGTGACGCTGGCGGCGGTGACGCGCCTCGCACCGCGCTACGCCGGCCTCCTGGTGACAGCCGTCTCGCTCACGTTTGTACTCAGCTGGTGAGTCGCTCGGAGCGAGCGGGGAACTTGCCGTGCGGCATTGGGCGCGGCCGCGGACGGCGTCGAGTACAGCAGGCCCGGCCGAGAGGTGTCATAAATTACGTTAGGCAGCTGCCGCCGGCCCTGCCATTGGCGATGCGGGACGACCTGGCTGAGGCTTCATGGTGGGATGTAATGAGTCTGGTGGGAGGCCTGCCGAGTCCCATGTCAGTAGGCTGTGACGGTGTGCTCATTTTTTAGATTTTGATCTGGCCTGACGTGTCTGTGTGTTCTCATTCTCCTCGTGTGTGGCCGTGCTCCGGCGGGCTGTAGCTGTGTGCTCTGGCCACATCACTCTCTCTGTCATGGCGTGTGCGTGTTTCAGTGAACTGTGGCTGGTGGAGGCGGCGCGCTGGCACAGCGTGCGCGGCGCCCAGATGATTCTGATGATGAAGGCCGTGTCGGCCGGTCTGGACGGGAGCCCGGCCGCGCCGCCACCCGGACCGCTTCAGTACGCGGGCTACCTGCTGCACCCGGGCACGGTCGTGTTCGGGCCGTGGATCGCGCTCGCCGACTACACGGCAGCCGTGCATACCCGGCCGGCCCAGGTGCGCTGCTGCGTGGTCGTGTTCGGGCTGTGGATCGCGCTCGCCGACTACACGGCAGCCGTGCATACCTGGCCGGCCCAGGTGCGCTGCTGCATGGTCGTGTTCGGGCCGTGGATCGCGCTCGCCGACTACACGGCAGCCGTGCAGACCCGGCCGGCCCAGGTGCGCTGCTGCCGCGCCGCCGCCGGCGGTCGTCCTGGTTCGCCGACACCGTACTCTGGGCGTGTTAGGCGTGGCGTCTTGGGCAGCGTGTGCTGCAGCTGCTCGTTGACGTCGGAGACGCGTCATGATCATGATCGCTGTATTGCTGCATCCAGCC